GGCAATGAATGTACAAATGTGCTTTACACAATTGATGTGTGTATGGATTGTGATAAGAGTTGTATGAGCCCCTAATAAAATGATTAAAAAAATTAATTGTGAATAGTCTTCATTTTAGTAATTTTACTAATACGTATTTTTGGGAAACACGTGAGAACTGGGAAACAGTTTCTTCTCAGAAAAGTGAGATTTCTGGGTTCTGTAGAATTGATTCTGTGGAATTGCTCTCACCTAATCTTTTGGATCTTAAGGCCTTGAAAAATTTGGTTTCTAAAAGTAACCTTTGAACCAAACAATGGTGTAGATAACCAGTTTGCCTCAGATTTTTTTGATTTTTACAAAATGAGCTATGTGCAGCCAGTTTCCAGGAAAAGACGCCAAAGGTCACACTATGACGATATTTTAGGGTGAATCAGTAAATATTTTCATGGTTCTTTAAGCGTTATGGCATCCTTTCTGACCACAAGTTCTTTCTCCGTGTTGTTATGGCCCTTTTCCATGGCCATGTCAATAAGGTGAAGTACTAAGAATTTGGGGAGTGTTTTTCATCTGCAGAACAAAGTTTAACTCCTAGTGTAGTGGTTATGCATTGGACTGTTACTGAAAGGTTAGTAGTTTGAAACCATCAAAAGTTAGTTTCAGAAACCCACTGGAGCAGTCCTGCTCTGTCCAAAGGGTGGCTATGAGTTGGAATCCACTCTAAAGCAGTGCCGTTGAATCCCTGGGAATGGGGGAATGCTGGTGGTGCAGTGGGTTACCAGTTGAACTGCTAATTGGAAAGGTTGGCCGTTTGAACCCACAAGCTCTTTTCTGGAGGAAAGATGAGGCTGTTTACTTCTGTGATTTTATAATCTCCCAAGTCCTACAGAATAGTTGTTCTACTCTATCCCATAAGGCTGCCATGACTTGGAACGAATGCCACCAAAGTGGGTTTGTGTTTTGAGCAGAAAGGTTAACGGGTTTGCAAATTATACAAGTAGATAAACATCAATCAATTCCCAGTGGTAGGAAAGGACTTTTGTTTTAACACTACAAAGTATGTGCAAAAATGCTTATTGCAGCAATATTTGCAAGAATGAATACGTAGAAAGAATGTGGATACCTATCGATAGGAAATGGTTATTGGCATATCCATTACTACAGAATATTTTGCATTTGCACGCAGGCTCCCTCTCACACATACATATAATTTTAATTCTTTTGCACAAATTGATATATACTATGTATTTTTGCCATTTTAAATATTCTTTAAAATGTTGGATTTTCTTCTGTGATCTTAACATCTTGAAGATGTCTTAACCAGTGTAGAGTATTTGATGCCGACCATGAAATTCCACGATTAAAAAAAAAGATGCCATGAAGCAATGAATCAGTCTGGGGATTTTTAATGTTTCGATGATCGAGTTAAAATGCACTGAATTGACATCTGGATCACACGTCTCCTGTGGGCATCCAGTTTGGGATTACCGACTGTACGCGAATCCCTTTTCTGCCAGGAAAGGGCGGGGGAGACGTGACCCTCGGAAGAAGAAAACGAGCCAGGTTTCATGATGGACCGCATCCCGGGCCCCTGCCGGGGGCAAGATGGCGTTTTCCTTCGACGCCTCTCGGGACAGGCGTGTCCCATGGAGCGCGTCCTGCAGGAAGCGGCCTCTCTGCCGCGACTCCGCGTGGAGCGCCGGGCAGCCTCACCGTTTCCGGGTTCCAAGGCGGCCGCTTGGGCCGCGGCCCCGCGGAGGTGCATCTCGGGAGGACGGCGGCGACGTCACCGAAGCCCCCGCCTACGCCCCGCCCCCAGCGGCTGGGCGAGCGGAGCCGACATGGCGGCCGAGGCGGAGTACGAGTCTGTCCTGTGCGTGAAGCCGGACGTCAGCGTCTACCGCATTCCGCCCCGGGCCTCCAACCGCGGCTACAGGTACCGTCCCGGGGCCGCTGCCGCCCGGCCGGCGCGCGTCCCTCCTCCGGACCCGCTGTCCGCCACCTTGGGCTCGTCTGCCTGCCGGGAGTCCCCCCTGCCTGGGTCGTCCTCCTCAGGCCTCCCGGGCGCTCGGCCACTCCGGGCTGTGGTCCTCTCTGCGTTGGCCGCTTGTTTTGTCCCCTTCCTGCGTCCTCCGCCGCCCTGCCCTCTCCTTGTGCCCCGGGTCCCCGTCTGCCCATCTCTTCGCTCGCAGCCCGCAGCTCTGCGTGCCACACACGCGCGCTCCGGGGGCGAGCTCCGTGCTGCTGGCCTCGTGCTCCCTAAAACGCAGCGGCCGTCGGGCCGCTCGCTCGGACGCCCTGACCACGGAGGGCAGGGCCGGACTGCCCCGGTGGCGAGTGGTTTCAAACCGCGGACCTTGCAGCCCAAAGCATCATCCCGATTGGCCCCTCTGGGGATGGTCTGCTTTATCTTTGTTCTGTCATCGACCCTCCCTTTGCTTCCAGCCGTTCTCCCGGTGGGCGAAGGTCATCATTCTAATTTTTTCCCTTGGTTGCCCATTATGCCTCTTTTCGTCATGTTTTCAGGATGATGAAGTGTCTGCCTGCTTGCTTTTCCTCCCTCCCCTGCACCCCCCGCTCCTTTAGGGCCCCCCCCCGCCCCCCCGAGTTAACACTGTGTTCCCAATGCCCGAGAGAGCCCCGCGACGCTGCATGATGTCATGGACTGGAATCAGCACTGACGGAGCGACGCGTTCACAGATGAGTGCGAGCCCCGCAGCAGTATTGATTTTGGATCGGATCCCTTAACCCCTCACCTTCTGTTTTCTCACCTGTTAATTGGTGGTGGTGGGTAGATGAACAGTTAATGATAATAAAATGTACTTCATGTCGGTACTCGACAGGTTTTTTGTTGGCTTCGTTGTTTTAAGTTTAAATGAAATCATAAACTGGGTGTGAAAGAATTTGGGGAAATGACCAGGAAACAATCCAAACTCACGGCCAGCGAGTCCATTTTGACTCCTAGCGACTGCATAGGACAGGCTAGGACTACGCATGTGAGAAAGTGACGCAAAATATAAAATTTGAAGTACTGTTCATGATTTCCCCCTTGGCAGTATCATTACCTTGGTTGAAGTTACCTTCTGAGGTCCATGATTTTGTGTTCTTATCAGGAAGTTCATTCTTCTTGAGACAGTATCTTTCAGCTACCTGACCTGTTCACTAGACTTTACGAGGGATGTACATTTTGACCGTCCAATTTTTAAGAACTCAAATTCTCTGTCAGTAAGAATCTACTTGCCATTTTGTTGGTAGTCACAGGTACTCTGTAAAAGTGTGACTCACCTTATTAGATATCATCTTTGGGAAGCCCACCCTGACCCTTCTATCGAGCTTAGATGTGCTCTTTGTGCCTTTGCAGGCTTGTCTCCATCATTCTGTATTGTGATTGTTTTTTGTCACTTCTTTCCCCAGATTAGCCTGTATAACCTGAGATCTTTTTAGACTTTATATTCTGTCTGTCAAACTCAAAGGGGCATGTAAGTGGGCACTCTGTAAATGTTGAGTGAAAGAAAAATTAGATCACACAGATAAGCCTAATCACAGAAATGGATGTGGAATAAGTTAAAATAGCTCATGACTTCCATTTCTAAGTGTTAAGGCTTTCACATCAAAGAGGGGTGCTCTCCTTGTTTTTCTACTTCCAGGTTGGGTTTGTTTTCAAGCATCTGCCTCCTTTCACCCATCTGGTTTCTCTACCTTCTCTTAGGTCACCCACAACCCTATGTGTCATGTCACTTAACTACCCTGAGCTTTCAAAGCAGTTTCTTAAATTTCTTCTTTTGCCTATTATTTTTCTGAGCCTTCCATGATTGTTACTGACATTTCTTATCCTCTCATCAACATCCTTTTCTCTCAGTTTATTGAGTAAAGAGAGCAGAGCTAACTTTGAGTTCCAGCTCAAATGTACCTTTGCTACGTTACCTGAGGCAGATCGCATAACTTTTTGAACTTTCCTTTCTTCACTTGTAAAAACTAGGATAATAATTCTTGCCTTGCAAGATTCTGCCACTTATTTTTTCCAACAATGGGCTTACTGCCGTTAGAAAATCCTTTTTATTTATTTATTTTCTTTTTGCCTGCATAGCCCCTCTTGTCATTTACCAGGACCCAATTTACTTTATGAGCATGATCTATTCGCTAGCCTGCCATTAAAAGATAAACAGGGCAAAAAAAAAAAGATAAGCAGGGTTTTTTAGCAAGCTGGAGAAATCCTTCCTTTGAGTAATAAGGGCAGAGGAACGAAATGCCTTTGATTTACCTAAGGTAGGCTGTGGCTTCCCAGACTTTTGCTGATCAGGCTTCTAGACTATGAAAGGAAAATGTAGGCTTATGAGAAATTTATTAATAGATTTAAAATGATTTTTCAATTTATAATACTGGTTTGTTAATCACCACTATCTTTCTTCTCTAGCTAAATCAGCTTTAAACACCGTATGTCTTAATGTAAAGAATGCTGGCCTTAGGCTTAGAAGACCTGAGTGTAAATTGGGTTATCATTACTTACTGTCTTATCCTCTTCTTCCTTCAAGAAATAGAGATGATAAGAAACTGCCTACTTTTTTTATAAGCCACTATAAGGGTTTAATTAAATGTACACGTGCAATCTTTTTTTTAAAAATCATTTTATTGGGGGCTTGTACAACTCTTATCACAATCCGTATATACATCCGTTGTGTCAAGCACATTTGTACATTTGTTGCCGACATCATTTTCAAAACATTTTCTTTCTACTTGAGCCCGTGGTGTTGGCTCTTCATTTTTCCCCCTCCCCCCTCCCCTCCTTCCTTCATGAACCCTTCATAATTTATAACTTAATTATTTTTTCATGTCTTACACTGACTGATGTCTCCCTTGACCCATTTTTCTGTTGTACATCCCCCTGGGATGGGGTTATATATAGATCATTGTGATCAGCTTCCCCTTTATCCTCCTACCTTCCCCTGCCTCTCCTGGTATCGCTATTCTCATTATTGGTCCTGAGGGGTGTATCTGTCCTGGATTCCCTGTGTTTCCATCTCTTATCTGTACCCGTGTACATGCTCTAGTCTAACTGGATTTGTAAGGTAGAATCGGGGTCATGATAGTGGGGTGAGGGGGAAAGCATTAAAGAACTAAGGGAAAGTTGTATAGTTTCCTAGGTGCTATCCGCACCCTGACTGGTTATACCGTACCCAGACTGGCTGTACTGTACCCTGACTGGCTTGTCTCTTCCTTGTGACCCTTCTGTAAGGGGATGTCCAATTGTCTACAGATGGGCTTGGGTCTCTACTCCACACTCTCCCTCAATCACATTGATAGGACTTTTTTGTTCTGGGTCTTTGATGCATGATACTTGTTCCCATTGATACCTCATGATCACACAGGCTGGTATGCTTCTTCCATGTGGTCTTTGTTGCTTCTCAGCTACATGGCCACTTGTTTATCTTGAAACCTTTAAGACTCCAGACGCTATATCTTTTGATAGCTGGGCACCATCATCTGCCTTCACCACATTTGTTTATATACCCGCTTTGTCTTCAGTAATTGCGTTGGGAAATTGAGCATCACTGAATGCCAGGTTATTGGAACAAAGTGTTCTTGTGTTGAGGGAGGACTTGAGTAGGGGCCCAAAATATATGTACATAGATCTATTTCCCTATCGTTATATGTAAATATATTTACATATGTACATGCCTGTATTTAGACTTAGACTTCTATAAATGCCCTTTTGCCTCTGAGTTCTTTCCTCTATTTCCTTTTACTTTCCTCTTGTCCCACTATTATGTTCGGCCTTCATTTAGGTTTCAGTAATTCCTCTCAGTTACATTGCCCATAATCAAGCCCTACCAGGCATCAGATGTCCTCCTCACCATCAATTTTAGCTCACTTGTTGTTCCCTTGTCCCTGGGTTTGTTAACATCCACTCCCCCCCTTCCCCTCTTTTGTGTACCCCCAGGAACCATTGGTCCCATTGTGTTCTCCTCTTGATTGTTTTCCCCACCTATCTTATCTAGATAGGCATGCAGAGCCAATAACAAGACAAAAGCACAAAAACAAGATAGCAAAACAAAACAACAAAAGAAAACCAAAAACCCAAGGACAAAAAAAAAAGACAAGCCTATAAATAGTTCCAGGTCTGTTTGTTGACTTTTAGGAGTGTTTTCCAGTCCAGTCTGATGGGGTGCTATGCCCTGGTCCAAAAGCCTGTTTTTAGTATTCTCCTGGGACTTCGTTGCTTTGCTCCCCTTGCTGCTCTGTTGCACACGCTTAGCATTTCACCCTGGTGTGGTGGGGTCAGATCGGCACAGTTCCCACACTGTGCCTCTGGTGTTTACCCTCGTAGCACTATGAGTCAGGGACATCGTGCCTCCTGGTGGGGCAGGCCCTAAGGTCCTCTCTGCATGTGAAATCTTAATGTGACTGTAAGAATGGTTTGTGTAGATACAGAAAATTTAATTGCTAAGGTTGATACAAATTTGTAGGCAATTTAGTTTCAGAAGACCAGAAAGAACAAGAATTTGAGGAATGATAGATCTTGGAGAGGGAGAAGAACCGGGCCTGTGGCGGAGACAAAGTACTGCCTTGAATGGCCTTTCCTTTCCGAAAACACTCTTAAATGGTGTGCAGTAGACACACAAGGAGAAGGCAGACAAGGAGCTTGACCAGAGGATCACATTAGTAGGTTTGTTCTTGGGGCTTTCAGTGGTCTTTTTGTCCTAATGTCTACTCGGTGGCCTAACAAAGGACAGAACTCGTTGTTGAAATTGTGATAGCCAGGGACCCCTAGAACACTCTCATCTGGACCAGCTTCAGGTACGTGGGGATCATGAAGGCAGGCCATCAAGAAGGAAGGGCAATGCAGGGATTAATCTTGCAGATTCTTTAGTGCTAAGGTGACCTGGTGGCATATTGGATTATATGTTGGGTTGGTAACTTCAAGGTCAGCAGTCCAAACCCAGCAGCTACTTTGCAGGAGAAAGATGAGTCTTTCTGTTCCGTAAAGATGTATAGCCTTAAAGACACAAAGGGGCAGTTCACTCCTGCCCCATGGGGCCACTATGAGTCAGATTAAACTAGACAGCAGTGGGTTTGGGTTCCCAAGAACTCTCCTAATTTTCATTTTTGTCCTTTTTGCTCTTGGTTAACCTTCTTGTTATACTCACTCTTGATAAGATTTATCTTAGTGTCATCTTTGTAACCTGCTGCTACTTGTCTGTGTTCAGATGGGATCCGTTCATAATCACTTTTACTTTATGCTGCCCTTTCTACACTTCTGCAAAGCAAAATCACAAATATAAGGTTTTGTAAAATCTGGCATATTTAAATAATAATGCCTTCAATTGCATTCAAATTTATGTGGACAAGATGACGATAAATATTCAGTGTTTTCTAATGCTTCCACATATATTGCTATCTCCAGCCCAGAAATCCTGCTTGAACTCCAGACTCATAAATTCAGCTGACTACATCTCTTCTTAAATGTCTGCTACACGTCTCAAAGCGCATCTGATCCAAACTCAGCTGATCTTTCTTCCCAAACATGTTCTACCTTCCTCAGCTCAACTTTTGGTAACTTTTTTCTAGAGACTAAAAGGCAAGAACTGTAGTTGACCTTGACTTCTTTATTTTTCTTATTCACCTGTGCTCCCCACCCCACCTCCTTCAATCCATTAGAAAATCCCTTTGGCTCTAATTTAAAGACTTGTAGCCACTTTTGCTGCTGCCATCTCTTCAAAGCCACACCACTCCTGGATTACTGCTGTAGCTTCTAGAACTAATCCCCCTCCACCTCTACTCACTTCACCTCAAAGTAATTTAAATTTAAGGGAGATCATATCAGACATCTGCTTCAAAACCCTGTAATTGCACCTCTGTATCCGAGGGAAAGCCAGCCTTCTGACAGTGGCACATACAGCCTTTGTTGTTAGCTGCTGCAAGTTGGTCCATAGTGACCCTGTCTACAGCTGAATGCAACACTGCCTGACCTGCAGCATCCTCACACTCATTGCTGCCATTGAGCTCAATGTTGCATCCCTGTGTGCCACTCACCACTCATTCGTCAGTTTGCCACAATGGTGGCTTGTGTGGTGCTATGATGCTGGTAGTTAGTTATGCCACTGGTACTTCAGATACCATCAGGGGCACCCATGGCTGCTAGGTTTCAGTGGAGTTCCCAGAACAAACCAAACTAGGAAAAAGACGTGGCAGTCTACTTGAGGACCTCACTATCCCACATCTATCCCAGGCTTCCTCCCACTGGGGCACCTTTGTACTGCCTGTTCCCTAGGCTGGAATGCTCTTCCACCAGATAAATGCATATGTAACTTTCTTCCTTCCTTTATTTATTTTGCTAAGATTTCACCTTCTTAATCAGTCCTGTTTTACCACTCTCCTGAACCCCAACCTTAGTGCTTTACTGTCGACAGTATGCTATATTTTACTTTTTAACGGTGTTTCTTTTTGTTGTCTATTTTCTATTAAAAAGCAAGCTTCATGAGGGCAGCGATCCCTGGTTTGCTCCTGGGTATATCCCAAGCAGCTCGAACAGTGCCTGTGACGTGTAAACTCTCTGTCAGTGTGAAAGGAACAAGTGTGTGTCTTTCTTGGGGAGTTGAGAAGGCTTCTGCTGTCCAGGGTGTTGCAGTGTGTAGACCTTGATGTTACCTGTTAGTAACACACTATTGTTTGGAATGTCATCTGCAGTGTGAAAATAAACATCACTATAAGAAATTTAAAATAATTGTATTGCTTTGATTTGAATTTTTATATGTTCTTATTGGTACCCATTGGGCTCTGAAATCCTTTACCTTTGTACTTGTTTGGGACTGCGTGTAACACAAAGCATCTATGTAGAGGCAGTCATAGCCTCTTCTGGTTGCTGATTGTCACAGATACAGAGAAAGGGGAAGCATTTCAGGGAAAGGAAAAAGACATGAGGCAGCTACAGAAAGTTCATGGAAAAATTCTGCTGTCACATTGACAGAGAGTTTACATGTCGCAGGCACTGTTCGAGCTGCTTGGGATATACCAAGGAGCAAGCCAGGGGTCGCTGCCCTCATGAAGCCCTCTTGTATTCCAGGTGGTTCTGGGTGGGCTTTAATATGTTCATGACACGGATCTAAGGACTGAGGATTTCTGCTTTTCTATCTTAGGGCTTCTGACTGGAAATTGGATCAGCCTGACTGGACTGGTCGCTTACGAATCACTTCAAAAGGGAAGATTGCCTACATCAAACTTGAGGACAAAGTTTCAGGTAATCTGTGCAGGTGACCTTTTTATTATATTAAGGATATTTACGAATCACTTCAAAAGGGAAGATTGCCTACATCAAACTTGAGGACAAAGTTTCAGGTAATCTGTGCAGGTGACCTTTTTATTATATTAAGGATATTGGGTTGAGTGTACTTTCAGAGTGCCGTTCACACTGGGGGCTGGAATGGAGAAACGTTTGGACTGGAGTTCTTGATTTTTGGATTCTTTGCTGCAAACAAAGCTGTTTTCGATCTCTCAGGGGAGCTCTTTGCTCAGGCGCCGGTAGAACAATACCCTGGCATTGCTGTGGAGACAGTGACCGATTCCAGCCGCTACTTTGTCATTCGGATCCAGGATGGCACTGGTACGAGAAGGGCCTGGGATTTTGAAGGTTAAATAGTCTGTGCCTATTGCATTTCTCTTATTTCAGTTTACTACTTTCTCCCCCCTCCCTTTTCTTTAAATTATTGTAGTTACTGAAGAGAAGGATTAACATGCTTTTAGTAATAGATATAAGCAGAAGTTCAAGACATAGAGCAATTACTAGGTAGACCTAATGAAATGAAAATGCATAGCTAATAAAAGCCCACATTTTTTCTCCTCGGTGTTTGTGGTGGTGGTATTTTGGTGGGACTGTCTTAGTCATCCAACTCTATGGCAATAGTTTTCACTCTTTTCTCCTGTGTCTATAGCAAAAGCCTGCAAACTTTCTCTGAAGAGTCAGATAGTAGGTGTATTAGGCTTACAGGCCAAATAGTCTCTGCTGTTGTGCCAGCCTGGTGGGGTAGTAGGGTACATGTTGGGCTGCTAATGTCATGGTCAGCAGTTCGAACCCACCAACTTCTCCTCAGGAGAAAGACGAGGTTTTCTGCTCCCATAAAGATGTTCGGTCTTAGAAACCCATAGGGGCAGTTCTACTCTACCCTATAGGGAGGGTCACTGTGGGTCAGAAATGACTCAGTGAGTTTGAAGTGGTTTTTGTTTTGAGTTGTTGTGCAAAGCATGCTCAAACCAAGCCTGCTGCCATTGAGTCACTCGTGACTCACAGTGACCTGAGACCACATCTTGAATGCCCTCCTGAGGATCACCTAGTGGGTTAAGTTGTCAGCCTTGCAGTTAGCAGCCCATGGCTAACCCACAGCACTACCGGGGCTCCTTTGGGATAGTGCTGAAGCCGCCACAGACCAAACCCAACCCCCACTGAGGTAATCTGAGTGAGAGTGACCCTGTGGGACAGAGCAGAACTGTCCCATAGCGTTCTGAATCTCTTAAGTATTTTCAAGAGCAGACAGCTTTCGCTTTCTCCTGTACTGTGGCGGGTGGGTTTGAATCACGGACCTTGCCGTTAGCAGCCCATAGGAAATGTGTAGACGAATCCATGTGGCTGGGTTCCAGTAAAACTGTACTGACAGGAACCGCTGGGCTGCGTTTGCTGACTCGGGGTCTGTGAGAAGGGGTCAGGAGTATCGGCCACATCGACTTAGGCCAAGGGCGGCTTTCACTGGGCAGACTGTCTGAGGGAACGCTTCCTTTTTGAGTCCTCTCATCTCTCCACAGGGCGTAGCGCTTTCATTGGCATTGGTTTCACAGATCGGGGCGATGCGTTTGACTTTAATGTCTCCTTGCAAGATCACTTCAAGTGAGTGACGCTTGTTCTCATTTACCAAATTGAATGGCTGTGGGAGAGCTGCTTCTCAGATGCATAAGCACTGTCTCCTTTCCCTCCTTTCTTAGTTGGCAAACGAGTTTATTACATAGATCTCTTCATGCTGCGTTTGTTTTCCTGCCCCATCACTGTTACCTCTACATTGCCTTTCCTTGCAGCTTGAAATGTGTTGTCAGATCCCGTTTAATGGTTTGAGGAGGATGCTTTTTTTTATGCCTCTGGGGAATTGGCCCTGGAATGTAGGTGATAGAGGGAGGTGTACAGTAAAAGCAGGGCTATATGTGAGACAGACATGCCAACTTTGTTACCTTGGGTAGCCGATGACGTTTTGTGCCTATTGCCACGTCTTTTCAGTCCTTTAGATTTTGAGGCAACGCTGGTGGATAGCGCATGTGCAACAGCTTCCATCCTCAATGTTGGGTATATCTGCCTTCCTACTGTAGGACTCTCTAAAGCTTTGAACTCAGCCAACCTAGGGATGCCAGCTGGAAAGATAGAATATTCACACTAAGGGCAGCCCTTAGCCTTGGGGGAGGGGACTCGGCGAACAGATATTTTCCTGAGGGAGGGGTAAGTCTAAGATGAATTCTGTGGGGTTGCTCAGAGTCCTTGGTGGGGATCAGTCCCACTTGCTCCCTTTCTTCACTTTGGGGACTCTCACTCCCGCATTCTGGGATCCCCTCTCAAGATATCTGACAACACCCAAATCTGAATGTTAATGCTCTGCTTTCAGGGAAAGCCAAAGTAAGATGATTTACTGTTTTCCTCAAGGTGGGTAAAGCAGGAATCTGAGATTTCCAAAGAGTCTCAGGAAATGGACACGCGCCCCAAGTTGGATCTGGGCTTTAAGGAAGGACAGACGATCAAATTGAGTATTGGGGTGAGTGCGTTTGCCTTTCTCTTTCAGCTGGTTTTGTGTGTGTGTTTCTGTAAGCCTGTGACCTTCTTCCATGTTCTTCTAACAGAACATTACAACCAAGAAAGGAGGTGCTTCTAAACCCAAGACTGCAGGGCCTGGGGGCCTGAGCTTACTCCCACCCCCACCTGGTGGCAAAGTCACGATTCCTCCACCTTCCTCCTCAGTGGCCATCAGCAACCATGTCACCCCACCGCCCCTTCCAAAGGCTAACCACGGAGGCAGTGATGCAGGTAAATCTCTCCAGTATCTCTAACTTTATGAGATTATACCTTACATTTTATTTGAGAAACACCTATTTGCCAAGGTTTTCATTATGCTTCAAGTCTGACTCAGAGACACTGACCAAGTGACTCTGACAGCCTTTGGCAAAGCGTCAGCGCTCCTGTAGCGAACTACGAGTCTTGAGATGCAGTCTGTGCGCAGGTGGAGCAGGCTGGGTTTAGAGATAGCTTTCTTCATTGCTAGTGGGCCTCTGTGTCAGATGGGCCTTGATTCCCATCAGTCATGTCTCTGCTTCTTTATGTTTGAATAAGGTTGGTAACGTTTCTTAAAGTTTTGAGTTTTACTCAATTTTCTTGTCTGTGAAATGGAGATGTAAAACTTCTTCAAGCTTGTGAAGGTTCAAAGATATGGCAGCACCTAGCGCAGTGTGTGGAGCATAGTAGCCATTCGTGAAGTGTCACTGCTTCATCCTTCCCATTTCTTCACCTGGGCAGTGGGAGAAAAGAAGACACCCAGGTTGTGAATACAGCGTCCATTCTCCCTCATGTGCTGTGGGAAAAGAATGTAAGAAATGAGGACATTAAAATTCAGAAAGGAATAGGGATTTTCTCAAGATTGAGGAACCAGATGTTAGAATCTGGATGCTTTGACAACATATTGGACAATGATGATCTTTCATAGCATTGATTATTAGAACTGATGGGTCTTCCTGAAACTTTTGAGGTACCAATGACTATAGCCTACCTCCTTTGGTAAGTATTGTCAGAAGGCACTGGGGAGAGACTAAATATCTTAATTCCTTTTCACTTTTGACAGCATCATGTTATAAGATTTATTTTTAATGGCTTATTAAAACATTGAATTTTGAGATTCATATGCATTTGTAAGAAATAATACGTAGAATGCCCTTTATCAGTTTCCTTCCTTGGCTGGTTGATAATATCTTGCAACACTGTAGTTGATAACCACAGCCAGGGAGTTGACGTTGAGAGCTCACCGGTCTTATGCAGCTTTCACCTCACTAGCATGTGCTGATTATGTGTATACTTTTGTGTATTTAGTTCTTTGCACTTTTGTCAGGGTAAGTCGCCACATCCACCACCAACCACAGTCAGGGTACAGAACAGTCTTACTATCACACGGCCCCTTCTGTCTCCCTGTTCCAGTAACACCCACCTTCTTTCTGATCCCCTTTTCCCCCACCATTAGCTCTTGGAAATCACTGTGCTATTCTCCATCTCTATACCATTGTCTTTTCAAGACTGTCAAGATAAATGGAATTGGGGGGTGGAGAGGGAGGGGGAAAATGAGGAGCTGATACCAAGGGCTCAAGTAGAAAGCAAATGTTTTGAGAATGATGAGGGCAACAAATGTACAAATGTGCTTGACACAACGGATGTATGTATAGATTGTGATAAAAGTTGTATGAGCCCCCAATAAAATGATTAAAAAAAGAAAAAGAAAAAGGAATGAGGGCAACATATGTACAAACATGCTTGATTCAATTGATGTATGGATTGTGATAAGAGTTGTACGAGCCCCCAATAAAATGATTTAAATGGCAAAAAAGAAAAAAAGATAAATGGAGCAGTGTGTTGTGTACCTCTTGGGTTGTCTTTTACACTCAGCATAGCTCTCTTGAGGTTTATCCAGGTTGCTGGCTCTATCGATAGTTTGTTCCATGTCTGGATGTGTACAGTGTGCTCCCCACTCACCCACTGAAGGACATCTGTCTTGTTTTCTAGATTTTGATTGTGACGTGTAAAGCTGTCACCCACATTTGCCTACAGGGTTTTTGTGAGCTCATGTTCTCACTGCTAAGAACCCTATTATGTTTGCCCCTTTCTCCCTCTTATCTCGTGTTCAGATATCCTGTTAGATTTGGACTCGCCTGCACCTGTCACAACACCTGCATCTGCACCAGCTCCCGTTTCTGCAAGCAACGACTTATGGGGTGACTTTAGCACTGCATCCAGGTAATGGGTATAGTGAGACCAGCCTGTTGTCAATGAAGGCCTCGGTGGTACATCCACAGTCAAAGGGAATCTTTGATCTGGGAAAGCAGGGGAAGTTACAGGTCATCGAGCGGTCTTGGCAGGAGTTTAGGGAAGCAACGAAGGCGTTCTGGGACGGTGGGCAAAGCTGGGGGGATAAGCAATGAGTGGGATATTTCAGACCTGGGTAAGTGGAATTTATGTGCATTCGGGGCAGTGAGTTCTTGGAAACTACCGAGTAAAGAATGGAATTGTTAGGCTAATGTTTTCCCTGTACCTCTCTCTGTTCTCCTGTCTTGCAGTTCTGTTTCAAACCAGGCACCACAACCATCCAACTGGGTCCAGTTCTGAATGGCATTGGCAAGACAGTAGGACAGATTTGAAGACTAATGATGACCCCAAGGGCACCAGTCCGTGAGGGAAGTTAGAAACTCCTTCCCTCCCCAGAACCAAAATGATCGGACAATCGTTTTCATAGCTTCTCCATTGCATCCAAGCTGGTCGGTCACTCCCCTTTGTTGTTATTTGCTGTTCAGCCGAGAGAGGATCTGCCCTCCCCTGCTCACTCCCATGATAGGGGAGTCGTGGGTCTTGTCATACGTGTGGCTGACATACAGGGCTCACAGGCTAAGGTTTGAGGTGGAAGTGACTGCTAACATCTGTAAAATTCTTCTGTCTTTTAATTTCTTTAACTGAATTATGTCATGACCTCTTTGTGAACCCCCACTACCAAATTTAGAGGAGACAAAAACCTTGAAACTTCCTTCTCCAGTGACTCAAGACTCTCAGAGTGGGTAGCCTAACCTTAGTGTTTACAGATGAAGACTTTGGATAGGGGAAGCTGTGGAGGGAGGCCTATTTTCTGGGTCTCTGCCAAGCATCCTTCAGGCTTCCCCTATTCAGTAAGCATCCATTGCTGTGTGCAGCTCCTTCACCCTCTCGTGTGTTTACGTGTCTTCCTGCGATCAGAGGGTTATGTTGGTGGTACCTGCACAATTCTTTCCTGTATTGAATAGCGCAACATCTGTGACCAGTGGTGTCCCTTGGATGAAGGAGAGTCAAGGGGCTGTGCTCTCCCAGTTAGATGCTAGAGAAATATTTGTTTTCTTGCAGCTTCCTGTACTTGCTGCTTTTGAAGCACAGCTTTACTTTGTATTTGCCCCATTGTTTGACCTACAGTTGAAGAGTTTAGAGTTTTTAACCTCCTCTGTTGAGCAGAGAGATTGAAAGCACTTAACTCTTGTTTGATACCCACATTGCCTTGCTGCCTGGATATCTGAGCCCTTTCCATACACATTTCTTTCAGCCCCTCAGCTCTTTGTTAGAGTGCTGCTGCTATGTATATTGCCATTTGTGTTTCTCTTTTTTATGTATCACCGTTTATGAAGGAAGCTGGGGAGTCGTGGCTTTGGCTGTGACAGGTTTGTCCAAGTGAAAGCTTTGATACTCATCCCCCAGAGTATCTCAGAAGCAAGTTGCTCTCTTACCACATTCCTTTCCCTGGGCCCCCCATTCCTTATCCAGCGCTGTGAAGAGAGTGCCATTTTCGGATGAAGGACACTGTCTCTTTGGTTGGTCAAGGGGCAACTTTGAGAATGAAATGGGATGTAATTTTTGTCCCCCCCCCCGCATCCATTTATTTGGATGTGTACATGCTAGTTGAAGGGCATACTATCTAGTTTCTTGCTCTCGGATTTCCTTCTTACGTCTTTTCTCTCTTTGGGTCCATAATCTTTCCATTGCCTCCCCCTTCCAGGCAGCTCTACTCTTGCAGAGCCATGACAGGACATTTTAAAATTCCAATGGAAAACACTACAAAGAAATTCTATGGAATCACTAGTGACTAACTACTGGGAGCCTATTTTCTCAATCTTCCTCCATGTTGTGTTCTTTGTATTTTCAAGATGATAATATATTATGTATTTGAATTGCTGAAAACAAAAATTGAAAGTGAAGTTTAAGATATATGTATATAAAGCATATCATGTATTGGTGCAATAATGGTAATTAAATATATGGAAAATGGTTGTGCCTCTTTTTTATTTTACGTACTTGATGAGTCTGTTATCTAATTTACTGAACACACATAGGCCAGTAAGTAGTAAAAGGACATGTCATATTTATTTTATTTTCAAGATGTAGCTTGTCAGAAATTGAGACTAGATCTTAGTGCTCAGCGTTCCAAACTCAAAGAGGCCTGACATAACACTCACCTATTTGCTAGTATGGTGCCTTTCATTGGCTTCCACTCATCATGATCTGGTCTGCCTTCCACATCCCAGAATTCCACAGATGAAGAGGATCAGTATCAGAGGTGGAAACTGAAGCCAGAGTTGAAAGCTTGGAATAGATCTCGAAGTTCTCATTTAGTGATCATTGAAAGAGATACATACGAATAGCAAAGATGCGTTGTATTTAAAAAGAAAAGGATCTTTTTCAAACAATAATACAGATTATTCTCGGTAGAGAGTCTGACACACTCCCGGTCCTTCCCTTTACCCTCCCTGTGGAGGGTTTATGTAGCATCTCTCCAAAATGTGAGGCACTATGATAGGAGGACAACATAAACCTCAACTTTTTGTTTAGGAAAAGATAGGGAAGAATCACTTTCTGTCTTAACTTCCCCAATTATGCTTTGACCCCTGCCTCTGATACGCTGCATGTAAGGCTTTGTTACTCCATTTTCCTTCCTTCTGTTTTCTACCTGTTGCTTGTCTGTAGCTTCCTTTGTCTCAAATCAGGAAGCTAAACTCTGCTTCTGCCCCTTGCTACCCCCACCCCTCCAACACATTGCCTATAATGCCTTTCCGATTCTCTTTTCCTTATACAATGAAGTCTCAAGTATCATTCCATCTTTAATTCGGTCTTCACCTTCACTCAAAATACATGCCAAAGTACTAGTTTTTAAAATTGTTTTGAAGTGTGAAAAACTTTTCTTGACTTTTTATGATAATGGGCTTACATAATATTTGCCCTTTTGTGCTTGACTAATTTCATTCAGCATAATATCCTTCAGGTTCATCCATTATTATGAGATATTTGGCCAATTTCAGGGTCATTCTTAAAGTTATAGAGTATTCCATCGAGTTTATGTACCACAATGTGTTTCTCCATTCTTCCATGGATGGCCATTTTGGTTGCTCCCGTCTTTTTGCTGCTGTGCATAGAGCTGTAATGAACATGGGTATCCTTACATCCGAGTGTGTCTCAACAATTTTAAAACTTGCTTAGAACACCTTCCCTTCTGTTAATACCTGCTTGTGGGAATTCTCATTGTGAAAGATTAGCTGACAGACCATATTTTTACACACAGAATATGGGCCTTCTAGGCTTGTTTGCCAATGGCTTCCTCTTGTATGATAGTTTTTAAGCAACTATGCGTTTGTTTTTTTTTACTGCAGTATGTGAAAAAATTGGCACAAGGGTGCTTACAAAAATACCTGGGGTGGGGGTGGGGAACAGTTGGCAAACATGAAGAGTACCTCATTTGTATAAACAATATTTGATGGAACGTTTGATTTTTCCAATCTAAAAAATGATTTCCCTTTTTTGTGTGTTGCCAAATTTGTTACTAGTTAGTAAGCTCTGAGTATAAGAACGTTGCCTTCATTTTTACGTACCTAGGACTTCACAAACACCTCTCTACTAGCAGGTTCTCAGTAAATACATTTTGAACTCGTAGTACTATCAGCAGTGACCAGTGTCTGCAAGTTGGAGATTCCTTCACTTATTTTTACTCATTTCGGCTTTTTCTAGGTAAATGAGTTCAGGATTCACAATGTGCTTTGTCACCTTCGCCAGCTTTGCAGAAAATCCTCTTCCTCAGATGGTCACAATATGAGAAGGTCCCGTAAGCAGATGTGAAGACAAATTGTACTGTGGTCCACAGATGTGTAGACGTGGGAAAGGATACTAGTTACTGTGTAGCACAGATGCTGCTAAAGTTGGTAGCTTACTGTTTTAATGATCCAACTGGCTCACATGGCCTTGAACTTGACTCATGTCTTAGTTCCTTTTTCCACCTTTTTTTTTTTTAAACCATGTGTAATTTACACTACAGTGAACCCTCGTTTATCGCGGTTAATCGGTTCTAGACCCTACCGTGATAAATGAACTTCTGCGAAGTAGGATTCCTTATTTGTAAATCAAATATTTTCGTAGTTAGAGCATAGAGGACATGAAAAAACACCCTTTAGTCACCATTACACTCGCAAACAATTACAGTACGCTGTACAAAAGCAAAAATGCATCTGATACATAGCTCCGATACATAGCAATGCAGACAGAAGCGTGTACAGTATGAGCCAGTCAGTGGCAGTAATGACAGAGCATGCGCTGTTACGTAAAAACTGCGATATAGTGAAGCCGCGGAAGTCGAAGCGCGAAGTGGCGAGGGTTCACTGTACATGAAGTCAGTTCATGTGGTTTATGAACATAGTACTCATACTGAAGCACTTCTCAGACACATTCCCAACAGAGAGCAAAAGGAAGAGAAACACATTGACTTGTGAGGAAGTTGGGATGGACTTCACAGCAATTTCATGGTCTGGCATTGCTTTCCACATTTTTTCAGGGTTGCCATTTTCAGTCCCTTTTTGAAAGATATGGGTGGTATTAAAAAAAAAATTCTGCCTTGCTTCAGTTACCTGTGTCTGAGTCAGGAGTAACATTGCCAATTGTGATACTGCATTCAATCCCTAGCTTTTATTTTTTAAAACTTTCATTATTAAAATTTGAAGGGCTTTATAGACATAAAATTCATGTATCATATAATTCAATGTTTTAAATATATTAAAGAGTTGTGCAGTCATCACCACAATCAGTTTTAGATCTTTTTTTCATTGTATCCATTATGATTGACTCCCCACTTCTCCCCAATGCCTCACTCACTCACTGATAACGAGTTGATGCTGGTGCATGCGACCGTTAGAGGACTGGGTAGAACTGCCACTGTGTTTCTGAGACTAACTCTTTTTTGTTGTTTTTTAATTGTATAGTTCATTTATACAGAGATAATTTGGAGTGATCTATTTACAATCTTTTCCAATGTTCATTTTCACCGATCAAATATATTTCACATAATAACATTTACTTGAACTGATGAGCATTATAAATCTGCCATAACATAGGGTTTTGGGTCCTCCCTGTTTACCCCTTTCAAAGACTAGGATTCTCAGTGCTGTTTCACTACGAAGTATTATCACTCATGTAGCAGACTGCAGTAAAAGGGTTACCAGCCTTTCCCCCCATCCTATGAATAAGTCCACCACAATTGATCTACTTTGTGGGATTTTTAAAACATTTCATTGTTTTCATATTCATTATTTGCAGGTATTATAAACCAAGGCAAATAAAGTTCACTTCTCCCAAACCTACAACCTTCTACATGCCCTCCAGTTGAGCTTTACTGTCTTTCACATTCTGTCATAGCTACTCTCTTTTTCCCTCTTTAAAAACAAACCCAAACCCAAAAACCTATTACCAATCATTCTTCTTTTCAGCCCATGCTGCGACTTTCAACTCAGTTTTAAGGTGGTTTTCGTTCAGTGGTCTAGAATATACTAAGTCATTTCACCTATTTCCACCACTCCAAAATGTTACACTTTAATCACTGTAACATTCTTTATTGGCTCAAAACCAGTATGGCTTGGTTTCACTTGGTAAAGTTAATATGATTAAAAAATATATGTGCATATATATGTGTGTATGTACACACACATTTTAAATAGAAGAAAAATACTTTCAGAATATGTTGATTTGAAAAGGCATCAAGTAAAAAAAAAAAGCAAATATTAAATGCTACTTCACAATAAAAAAACATTCAAATGATTTGGCAGGTCAAATGAATGAAAAGTGAGGAATGTGCAGCAAAAAAACCCGAATGTGCAGTGAAAAACTGTTATTTATAACATTTGACCAAAATTTGAATTTTTCAAATACTGGAATTTTACCAGTATCTCTTTGAAAAATCTTACATGCAGAATTTGAGATCATAACATTGGCACCTAAACTTTACATGGAACTTTGCAGTATTTCAAAATTTATATTGAGTTGTAACTTCCTTGGAAAACAAACCATAAAACCCTTACAGGTTTTCCATTTTATCATCTGGAATGCTTTATATTAAGTTTGTTTTTCACTGCACATTCCTCAAAGAGATACTGGTAAAATTCCAGTACTTGAAAAATTCAAATTTTGGTCAAATGTTATAAATAGCACAGTTGGTTGGTATTGCAAAGTCATGACAAATCCACAACCAGGCAAAAACCCATTTAATGCATGTTTCATTTATCCAAAGATACCAGGCTTGTCTGTACTAAAGAAACGAAGACAATTATATTCTTAAAACAAAAAGACTAAAAAAACAAAACTAAAAACAAAACGACTAATTTATCTGTATATCTTTAGCTGCCATTAAATAAAACAAAACAGTAACAAAAAAAATAAAAACATGGAGAATATTAAATTGTGTACAAAGTAATCCCACCGGCCCACAAAAAAACAACCCCCAAACCCAAAGTAATCCCTATAATACTTCCACAGTCAAGGAAAACAAAAGCAACTGTACACATTTATAAATACAGCGTCCCCATCCGTGAACACATAGCTTTGTTGATACCAAAGTCTCTCTTCGTTTGCCACTTAACTGGGCTCTGTCACTTGCTTTCCAGAACCCAGACTGCGTCCGGTTTGCTTTTCCACTCTTGCTATCTTCAGCTGTTTGCACATTAGACCCACATCCAGGAGCATCTTCATCCACGTCTACTTGAAGGACACGACACGGCTGAAGTCCTTCTCTGTGCCTGGACGCTGCATGCGGACAGGCTGTTCTCCACTCTTCACTGAGCTCTGGAAACCCGTGAGCGCCGTGGGGCTGGCGGCATCCTGGAAAGGGGCCATTGCTGCTCGAATGCAATTGAACCACTGCTGCAGGTGGAACACGGCGTTGGCTTGGGGTCCTGGCAGAGAAACTCAGATGATATTTTTACTTTTATCTGAGTTGCTGAAAGCCCCTGAGAAGGACC